TAGTTCCAACCAATAGCGACCCTGTATAGGGTTTCCAAGTAGCAGCTGGTGAACTTGAACTACCAGCCTTGCAGTTCAAACCGACTTTGCAGTCCAGTGCATTAGACCACAGTGCCATACCAGGACTCTCTCTATATCTATCTATCGATCTATCGATCTATAAATAGCTCGATAGATACATAGATAGATAGATAGATATAGATATAGTTGTTATTAAATGCTGTCAAGTCAGTTTTACACATAGTGACCCTGTCTAGGGTTTCCAAGAAGACAACTGGTGAGTTTGAACCCCTGACCTTGCAGTCCAATGCTGATCCTATAGCACCATACCATATTGAGTCTCAGTGTGGCACTGTAGGATCAGCACTTGACTGTAAACCACAAGGTCAGCAGTTTAAATCCACCAGCTGTTCTCCAGAAACCCTATACAGGGTTGCTGTAAGTTGGAACTGACTTGATGGCTCTTACCAACAATTATATGTTTATATGTAGAGTGGATTCCTGGTGTAGCTCTATAGGATAAACACTGAATTGCTAACTGCAAGGTTGGCAGTTCAAACATACCAGCTGCTCTTTGGAAATCCTATACAGGGTTGCTTTGATTTGGAATAGATTCGTTAGCACTTAACAAACACATACACAGATATGTGTGTGTGTGTGTGTGTGTGTGTGTGTGTGTGTGTGAGTACAATATATCCACCACTTTTTTTTTTCTCAGTTTGTCACACTGTGATGACTTTTGTGTTGCTGTGATTCTGGAATGCTGTCAGGGTTACCCATGGTGGGCAGGTTTCAGATGAGCTTCCAGATTAAGATAGGCTTAGAAGGAGTGGTGAACTAAATCTGAATGTTTAGCCATTTAAAATCATATTAATAAGAGTGAAACACTGTCAGACAGCAATAGAATATTGAAATATAATGAATAGTGCAGAATACCATAAGCTTTAGCGCCAGAAGATTAGCCTCTAGCATTGAAAGGCACTCAAAATATGACTGTGGAAGACATGCCTCTTCAATGTAGAGTTGATCTTGATGACCCAAATGAAGTAAAACTCTTGAGACCTTCATTTGCTGATGGGGCATGCCAAAAAATGGGGAGGAATATCCACTAGTAACTGTAACAAGAAATACATGAAATATGAATCTAGGAAAATCGGAATTTATCAAAAATGAAATGCATAAACATCAATATCCTAGGCATTAGCCACTAAAGCCAGTGATGATGAAGAATTCTACCAATTTCTTTAGTGTGAAATTGATCAAACATGCAATCAAGATGTATTGCTTATTACTGGTAATTGGAATGCAAAGGTTGGCAACAAAGAGGAAGGATCAGAAGTTGGAAAATATTACCTTGGTGATAAAAATTATGCTGGCAATCACATGATAAAATTTTGAAAGACCAATGATTTATTCCTTGCAAATACCTTTTTAAAATAACATAACAGATGATTATACACACGGACTTCTTCAGATCAAATTCACAGCAATTAAACGGACTACATCTGTAGAAAAAAAGGGTGGAGAATCTCCATATCATCAGCCAACACCAGGCATTGAGTCTCATCAATGCTCATATGCAAGTTCAGGCTAAACCTGAAGAAAGCTAAAAGTTGTTCTTGAGAGACAAAATGTGATCTTGAACACATCACACCTGAATTTAGAGATAATCTCAAGAGCAGACAATAATGACTAAAAAACCTAAGTTGAGGGATGACTTCAAGAACTTCACACAAGAAGAAAGTAAAAAGCTATCAAGACAAGGAAGAACAGAAAGACCAAAATAGATGTCAGAAGAGACTCTAATATTGCCCTCCAGTATACATATGCTAAAGCAAAAGGAAGAAGTGAGGATGTAAAATAGATAAACAGGAAATTTCAAAGGACAGCTTGAAAAGAAAACATCAAATACTATAATGAATTGTGCAAAGATCTGAATTTAGAAACCAAAAGGGAAGAACACACTCAGTATTTCTCAAGCTTAAAAACGGAGGTAAAAATTCAATATTTCCATTGAAATATTGAAGGGTTATTTGGGCAAAATATTGAATGATGCAGAAAACACCAAAAAAAAAAAACAACCTCACGGTACCAAAAAGAAATGGTTGATGATCATTTCAAGAGATAGCATATGAACAAGAGCCAGTAGTACGGAAGGAAGAAGTACAAAGTGCACTCCAGGAACTGATGGAATATAAGTTGAAATCTTAACAAACTGAAATGCAGCACTGGAATCACTCATCTATGCTAAGAAATTTGGAAGACAGCTACCTGACTAATTGATTGGAAGAGACCCAAATTTCTGCCCATTCCAGAGGCGATCCAATGGAAAGTGGAAATCATCAGACAATATACTTAATATCACAAGCAAGAAAAATTTTGCTAACGATAATTTAAAAACATCTGCATCAGTACACTGACAAGGAACTGCCAAAGGTTCAAACTGGAGTTAGACGAGGACATGGAATGAGGGATATCATTGCTGACATCAGATGGATCTGGGCTGAAAGCAGAGAATACCAGAAAGATGTTTACCTGTGCTTTATTGACTATGCAAATGTTTGTAATTGTGTGGATCATGACAAGTTGTGAATCACATTGTGAGAATGAGTGTTCCAAAACACTTAATTGTGTTCAGGAGGAAACTATACATAGTCCAAGAAGTAGTTGTTAGGGCACAACAAGGAGAGACTGAATGGTTTAAAATACGGAAAAATGTGTGCCTGGGTTGTATTCTTTTATATTATTTATTCATTCAGTATACTGAGTAAGTAATATGAGAAGCTGGATTGTATGAAGAAGGATATGGCACCAGGATTGGAGGAAGACTCATTAACAGCCTATAGTATGCATATGATACAATCTTGCTTGATGAAACAAAGAGTATTTAAAATACTTACTGGTGAAAAAAAACAAAACAAAACACAGCCTTTGGTATGGATTGTACATGAATGTAAAAACAAAAATCTTCACCACTGGACCAATAAATGACATCATGACAAATGGAAAAAGTTTGAAGTTGTCAAAGACTTAATTTTGCTTGGACCCACCATCATGGAAGCAGCAGTCAAGAAATCAACTGACATATTGCATTAGGCAAATCTGCTGCAGGAGACTTCTTTAAAGTGTTCGAGAGCAAAGGTATCAATTTGAGGGCTAAAGTGCACCTAATCCAAACTATGGTATTTTCAATAGCCACATATGCTTGTGAAAATTAGACAATTAATAAGGAAGACCATAGAAGAATTGATGCATTTGAGTTGGAGAAGAATAGTAAAGGTACCAAGAACTGCCAGAAAAACAAACAAATCTATGTTGGAAGAATTACAACCAGAATTCTACCTATAAACCAAGATGTCCAGTTTGTCTCTCATATTCCATACATATATCAGGAAGGACCAGTCTCTGGAGAAGGACATTATGCTTGGTAAAGTTGTGGGTCAGCAAAAATGAAGGACACCCCCCCCCCAAAGAGATGAATTGATACAGTGGTAGCAGCAAGAGGCTCAAGTTTAGCAGCAGTTGTGAGGATGGCACAGGATTAGGTGAAATTTCATTCTGTTTTACATAAGGTCACTATGGGTCAGAACCAAGTTGATGGCATCTAACCATATGTTGTTATTAAGTGCCGCTGTGTCAGTTCTGACTCACAGCAACCCTGTATAAGGCTTTTGAGGAACAGCTGGTGGTTTTGAACTTCTAACCTTGTGGTTCACAGTCCAGTGCTGATCCTACAGTGCCATGTATATAATTCGGAACTGGCTCAACACTATGAGTCAGAACTTACTCAACAGCCCTTAACAACAACAGCAACAACATATACTCGTGGTGTGGCTCTGTGGGATCTGTACTGGACTGCAAACTACAAGGTCAGCAGTTCAAATCCACCAGCTGCTCCTTGAAAACCCTATACAAGGTTGCTATGAGTCAGAATCTACTTGATGGTATTTAACAACCACATATATCTATATCTCTTTATCTATCTATCTATACACATGGTGTGGCACTGTAGGTTAATATGCTGGACTGCAAGGTAAGTTTGAACCGCAAGGTCAGCAGTTCAAGCTCACCAGTCGCTCCACAGAAACCCTATACAGGGTTGCTATGAGTCAGAATTGACTCAACAGCACTTAATAACAATATATATATATATTTTTTCATGGTGTCATTTAAGAAGCATTTCTGTCTTCTTTATTTTTAATAGCTCTCTCTATATATATGTAGAGAGAGAGACAGAGTGAGTCCTGGTGTGGCACTGTGGGTTAATGCATCAGACTGCAAAGCCATTTGAACTGCAAGGTTGGCAGTTTAAGCTTACCAGCTGCTCCTTGGAAACACTATACAGGGGTGCTATGGGTCGGAATCGACTCAACGGTACTTCACAACATTATATAATCTATATATATTATATATACACATACATACTGTATATGAGGGATTGTCTAAAAATTCATGGAGAATGTAATTAAAAGATAATGTAATATTTTCACAAAGTTTTGAAGACCCCTTTGTGTGTGTGTGCATGTGATATCTATCTATATGTATTGATGGTAACAACAACATATATACATGGAGGAGATCTGATGGCATAGTGGGTTACACATTGGGCTCTCAATTTCAATGTCAGAACTTTGAATCCACCAGCTACTTAGCAGAATAAAGATGAGTCTTTCTGCTCCCGTAAGGATTTAAAGTCTCAGAAACCCTATATGGTGTCATTAAGTTGGAGCCTATTTGATGGCACACAGCTATATATATATATATATATATTACTTACTGGAATGGGGTTGTATAGGATAAGCACTGGGTTACTAACAGCAAGGTTGGTAGCTTAACTCAAACCCATATATATATTTCATGTAGTATGCATGCACGTATGTGTGTATGTAGGCCTCAAGTTTATTTTTCCTCTGTAGTTATTTCTAATGGTATAATATTGCCTTATATAAATTGACATTTGGTTGTGGAGTTTAACACCTGGCATGGTTATCTATTTGCAGATATCAGCCCACCAGCACAAGGCGTGGACCACAGACAAGTACAGAAAGAACTAGGGGATGTCAGTGTCCGTCTTCATACTCCAGTTGTATTGACTCCCACCACAGTTCAAGTTACTTGGACCGTAAGTTTTTAAAGATTGTATAAATAATAATTTCTTATATTTTTGTTTAAGAAACATTTAAAAATAAAATAAAAAACATTTAAAATCACATGTAATCAATGATAAGAAAAAACATTCAATATATTAAGAGTGTGAAATAAACAAGCATTTCTGTCTTCTTTATTTTTAATAGCTCTAATAAGATGATTAACATATCATAAATAAAATTACAGAACTCAATTTTACCTATATTTATATAATTAAAACCATCACTATAATCTAAATTTAGACCTTGTTCATCACCCCAAAATGAACCCTTATGTCCATTAGCAGCAGTCTGTCCCCATCTCCTGTATCTTTGCCCTGTGCAGACATGGAGCTATTGTTTCTATAGATTTACCTATTCTGGACCTTTGGTATAAATGGAATACAATATGGGATCTTTGGTGTGTGACTTCTTTCATCCAGCTTAGTATTTCTGAAATTTATTCCTGTTGCAGTATTTTTATTGCCAAATAGTTTCCATACATCACATTCTGTTTTTCTATTTACTAGTGGATGCACATTTGGTTATTTCCAATATTTGTCTATTATTAACTGTCATGTGGATGTCTCTACATGTAGATATATTTTCTATTTTTCTTGAATAGGTAATTCTTTGTTTAGAAATTTGAGCTACTCCCCAATATATTCCAAAGTGTTTGTATCATTTTTCCATACCCACCCCATTTGAAAGTTTCATCCTACCAACATCTCACAGATACTTGTTATTGTTTGTCTTTTTCATCATCGTCATTCTTGTGGGTATGAATTGGTATCCTATTGTAACTCTAATTTGCAGTTTTTAAATGGATAATGATAGTGTGTATTTGTTTTGAGTGATTATTGCTCATTTTAGAATACTCATTTGTTAAAGTCTACTCAAATTATTTTCCCATTTTTAAATTCAGTTATTTGTGTTATTATTGAGCTGTAAGAATTTGTCTTATATATTCTGGATATAATTCCCTTATCATATATATGCTTTGTAAATATTTTCTCCCTTTGCATAGGTTCTATTTTTTTTTTTCATGGTGTCATTTAAAATACAAAAGTTTTAAACATTAATGAAGTTATCATCTGAATTTAATTAATCTACCTTTACATTTTTAAACATGTTTTAAATGTTAGTCTGATCACTGTTATTTCAAAATTAGAAGTGTCTTATTTCAGACATTGACCATTATATAGACGGAGCCCTGGCAGCGTAGTGGTTATGAATCGGGCTGTGAGCCTCAAGGTCAGCAGTTTGAAACTGCCAGCATTTGGCGGGAGAAAGATGAGGTTTTCTGCTCCCATGAAGATTAACAGCCTTGGCAACCCTGTGCAGGGTCGCTATGAGTTGGAAACGACTCCACAGCACATACCACCACCATGTTGTTGTTGTTGTGATGTGCTGTGGAGTTAGTTCCAACTCATAGCAACCCTGTACAGGGTTTCCGAGGCAGTAAGCCTCATCTTTCTCCTGTGGAATGGCTGGTAGTTTTGAACTGCTGACCGTGAGGTTAGCAGCCTGATTCATAACCAAGTAGTGACAATACAATCTAGTATGAAAGTAACCATATTAGTCAGATTAGATTATAATAATTTCATGTGCTTGTGTGTGGTTCTTTTTTTTTTTTTTTTGAGAGGAGCCAGACTTGAGGCTCTTCTTTATGTCATATATTCAGTGTCAACTTCTCATTTATGACCAAGTATGGTGCATAACTCCATGACACATAACAACAACAACAATGGTGCTGTAGGATAAGCACTGGACCACAAAGTTGGTTTGAACAGCAAGGTCAGTGGTTCAAACTCACCAGCCTCTTCTTGGAAACTAAATACAGGGTTTCTATGAGTCAGATCCAACTTGATAGAACTTACCAACACTCTCCATAAAGCAAGACAAAGTTGAAGCTTTCAGCTCCTGTAAAGATTTACAGTCTTAACAACCCTGTACAGGGTTAGTATGAGTCAGAACCATCTCTATACCACATTACCATCACCACCACCACTCTCCATTATAATCTATAAAAATCTACGTGTACATATATATTAGGATGATAGAAAGGTCATCTTCTTTAAATCTTTCATTAAGGTGATAGATCTTGTCTATTATCTAAGTAATTTTATCTAGAGATACCTGAAAGATTTTTTATTTAAATTGTAAGATTATCTAGAATAAATTCATAATTATATGTGTACTATTATTATTAGTAGTAGTAGTAATATTGTGCTGTCCTGTAAATAGAAAGAAGAAGATAAATAGAGAAATTGGTCTTTCCACCTCCTTGGAGTTCAACTTTCTTTAGGACACTGTTTCATCAACATCCATGAACTCTCAGCAAAACAGACAAAAAAGGAAAACTTATTACTTAAGTAGTTATGTTTGCAGTATAAGACACAATGAAGTGAATTATTCAGAATGTTTTTTATTGTGCAACAATAAAATACTGATTAAATGGTTTCTGTCTAACAATCATAAACCACACAGTATTAATTCCATTGAGCAAATCCTATTAAAAAAGTATTTCTTGAGTACCAATTATATTTCAGGTAGATGGAAGTACTATACAAAGAACACAAATCTAGTTGAGAGAGAAATGGAAATCCATAACAATAGTATACAGGGATAAGAGTCTTAACAGGTACAAACACACAGACTATAGTAAAGTTCCAGTCAAATAGGAAGATTTTAATTCTGTTCAGCAAAACTCTATCCTCTATATACCAAAAATACCATCTTCAATGTTTACAAATATATGGGGAAATATAGTGCCATACAAAGACATTATTGTAATGGTTGTTGTTATTAAGTGCCGTCAAGTCAGTTCCCACCCATAGTGACCCTGTATAGAGTTTGCGAGGAGCAGCTGGTGCATTTGAACCACCAACCTTGAGGTTCAAACTATCTTTGCAGTGCAGTGCATTAACTCACAGAGCCATACCAAGAAAATACAAAACATTATTGTATTAGGATAGGAGAACTTGAAACAATGTTTAAAGCTGTGTAATCCACCAATCCTGGACTGAACACCAGGAGTCCTGGTGTGGCAATGTAGGATAAGCACTGGATTGCTAACTGCAAGGTGGCAGTTTAAACCCACTAGCTACATGTGCTCCTTGGAAACCCTATATAGGTTCACTATGTTGTTGTTGTTAGGTGACATCCAGTTGGTACTGACCCATAGCGACACAGCAGAACAAAACACTGACCGATCCTGGGCCTCACTACTGTGGCCACACTTGAGTCCATCGATCCTTGGCTGCCACTTGGCCAATCCATCTCGTTGAGGGTCTTACTCTACTTCTCTTACCCTCCACCTTACCAAACATGATATCCTTTCTCCAGTGACTGGTCCCTCCTAACAATATGTCCGAGTTGGAACTAATTTAATAACATATAGCAACAGTTCAATTATATAATGTTATAAAAAGGAACACAATGCAGATCAGTTAACAAAGTCCACAATATTCCAACTTTATGTGTTGGTAAAGATAGAATTACAATTTCCTAACTTCACATCTACATTTTTTGTTTTGTTTTGTTTTTGGTGTAAAATGTTAACTGTGGATAAAGTATAGATAGGGATAAATTTTATTTGTGTAAATTTGACATGGGTTTCTGGTTATGACATTTTTATTTCTTAAACTATGTCACATTATCAGTCAAATTTTGGGCCTTAATAAAAATAGTACTAAATTTATAATCACACTGGTAATTACAATTATGCATGATTTCATTTGTTCTAATTTCACATAGACTTATTCTATGTTCTGTATATAATGATTTCTATTATTCTTTTCCCTTGAAGTGAACATAATTGTCTCATCATTTCTGAAAGTGGCCCAGTATGGAAAGTCCCTGCCATTCTTCTCTCATCTTTCAGTAGTTTTGACTAGTTCCTAAACTAACAAAGTAAAAGAAAGATATATTTATAATAGCAGTTTTTTTCCCCCCTTATTCTCAGTGAAGAAAGTCTGTGTTTTGCTGGAAACTTTGAAGGCGGTTCTTTTAAGGTCCTTCTTTTAATTGTGGGAATTATTTGTGTAAGACTCAGAATCATTGTGTCTTGTGAAGGCAATTACTTTAAAAACCACTGAGTTGAAAAGAGTCAATACAAGTAGATCAAAATTCCATGCCAGACTGGGAGTCCTTTCTGGACTAGGACCTTGTCATATTCCTTTCTTTATCCAAAGATGCTTGTCAGTACTTACTTTCATAACTAGTTCTTTCCTGGGTGGTAACTTCTGTGGCTTAAATAACTGTCTGTTGAATGATAAAATCACTCATTTTCTTACATTTTTGATTTTCATGTAGTTTCAAAATCAGGAGGGATTTGACTATATCTCAGCATATTGTTTCTTAGGAGTCTGAAGTCACACATATGATATGGTCTTAACATTGAGAGAGTTAAATATACTTTACCACCACCTGTCTGCCTGTCATTCTGAGGTAGCATGGATGTTACTGTGAAACTAGAAACGATACCACCAGTATTACAAATACCGCAGTATTACACAATCCACGGTGAACAGGTTTCTGCAGAGCTTCTGGACTAAGACAGACTGGAAAGAAAAACCAAGCGATCTACTGTTGAAAAACAGGTTAGCAGTGCAAGTCTTAAGGATAGCAGCAGACCATTCTCAAATTTAGACCTAGAAAATGACCCCCTGCAGTTGAAAAGGACAAAAAATGTGACTGGGGAAGAGCAACCTCCTTAATGTAGAGTTGCCTTTAATAATATTGGTGAGGTAAAGCATTTGGGACCTGCATTTGCTGATGTAACATGACTCAAAATGAGAAGAAAGAGCTTCATTAGTAATTCATTTGTAATTGGAACTTGGGAGGTACAAAGGAAAATTGTAAGTCATTAAAAATTAAGTGGAATATTTGAAGATCCATATCATAGGCATTAGTGAGCTGAAATGGACTGATACTAGCTATTTCAAATCAGACAATCATACTGTGCACTATACCTGAAATGACAAGCTGAAGA